CTCGAATGGTTCAGCATGACTTTGCAAAATTGAGATCTAATTTTCGATGGGTCGAGAATGAACAAATTTTGGAAAACAAATATTTAGTAGCACGATATGGTCATTAAGCAGAGAACAAGATTTCAGTAAATATACAATAAATATACGTAGCGTTTTCGTTCTAATTATTTCAAATGTGGGAAACAATATTTTAATATTTCAATTTTGCCAAGCACTTAACCCACTGACTGCCACGCAAATTTAGCGCGTCTCACCATGGGTGCCACGGTTTTATTTTAAAGAAAACATGAAGTTTTACAAAATATAATGATATTAAGTTACTGATATAATATTGCAATGGCATTTACAGTATTTTTTTTATTGATAATCAATATGTCCTCTACACTATATACATTTTTCATTCATCCTTTCTAATAGTTCCTAACTCAAATAGCCATTTGTAGCCATCTCGTGGTTGGCAGTCAATGGGTTAAAGCATTTTTTTACAATAAAAGTTTTGGAATAATATTTTACTTAGTAGCGCTCTGAATTTTTAAAATACAATAACACTAATACTATGAGAATTCAATTAACTTGACATTTCCATTAAATTAACGGGAACAAATTTGCTATAGTAATAATTTATAAACTACGCGATGCAACAATGTTATGAGTATTTATAAGTTTCTAAATTAATCGAAATGTGCGTAGAGTATCAATTGTGTAATGTGCGAAGAGAGATTCGCACACGTTTGTAAGACATCGAGCACATAAGATGCATTTAGTCGTGTCATGAATATGATTAGTGCATCCTATCTTTCTTCTGTAGCTATTGCATCTGTTAACCAAATGCGACATCCGTAATCATCTGCGTACCACGTGCGGTCATATCGTGAGAAATACGGATTTGCAAACGTTTTCTCAACTCCAGATGTTCAGGAAATCCGTTTGGTATATCAGAGATCTTCTATTGATCGATACAGTAGATTCTCCAACGGTAGATACCTACCACTGGTAAAAGGTAAGGGTAACTGACCGTCGGTAAAGTATCTTCTACGACGGTCGGTAAAGTATCTTCGGGTCGGACAAAATGAGATCTTCCTTTCCAGTAGCAACTAAGTTATTTAGTCGATACGATCATTTTTCTGTTTCTAAAGTTATTTTATAGACAATGCAATATTAATGCAGTATATATTATACATTTTGAGATATTAATTTTGCAAAAAAGTTTCGTGTAGACACAAACTACGATTCAGGGTGGAAATGCTTGCAGTTATGTTGAATCGAGTAATTCAAATTAGAACAAAATGTTTAACTTTTCTATATGTAATTTATTATCCCATACTACTGTGTGTGACAGTAATATGCTCAAGGATGGTTCAATGCATTTTTAAGTAACATTAAATTATTTGTTATTATGTAGAGAAGACAACTGAATTTATATTTTACATAAAAGGTCCTTGCAGATTAATTTAACGTTAATACTGTAATCATCGTAGAAGCCTAGTTCCTAAATTGCTCTTTTTTTGTGTGATTGATGAAACGAAATTTATAACTATAAAAGACTGGCATTTGAATAATAGGCAGATACAGCCAATATTTAAGTGGATCCGAAGGTGAAATTGTGGACATAGTATTTATTGCTGGATTATGGTTTTTGCAGAAGCAACAATACTATACATTGCTCAATTTGTTAAATCTATTAAAGATTAGCCATTTTTACGGTGTGCTAATGTAGTTATTAGAAAATTTATATAAACTTATACAAATACGTTGATATTTAATTGTACATAATTTTGATGCCTGTTTGCAAAATTGATTTTGATGATTTACCAATTCTGTTGAAACGAATATTAATATTTATAACTACGTAATTTTTGCGTTTACAAACAAGTCACACAAGTTTTGGGATACTTATAGTTTAAGACAATGCAAAAAGAATATTAATATATTTAGAGAGTTCGAAATAAAATTAACTTTAATTAAATTACTGTTTCACTTTAGTTTCACAGTCAATAGGTGCATTTGCATAAACAGCAACAGTTTGTTAATCGTATAATTTAGCAAATATAATTTAACAATGTCTTCGAGGAAAGATCATGGAACATCTTCCCGATTCGAAAAGTAGGCGATTCATAAACATTGCGTGAACGGCGAATAAAAGCTGGAAATGCGGGCCTGGGTTATTGGTAAAACACGGTGCACATGCGATCCTCAGGATGTAAGGGGGAGAAGCACGTTTCCGGCCGTGCAGGTACGCAGACCGGAAGTGCTGGTTGAACCACCATGATCGGTCGTGATGGTGTGACTTTAACCGAACGGCCGGGAAGATTTTCTGATTTCTGGCCTGCTCGTTGCCCGTGAAGATCGTAGATTCGAGTTTGACGACGTTCACGGTACACAACGGGTTATTGTACCCCCGCTTTTACGTGGGAATGACCCCGAAACCAGTCTGTAACCGAAGTCGAACTTGACATCGTTACGCTTTCAGCACATTATGAAATTGCTATCGTGCCACAAAAAGCCATTATTATCGTACATAAAATACGCTGACTTTAAATTATTCATCGCGATGCCACAGACACGGATTACTAACACGCGTACATCTCGCATTGTGTTCGTGCATAGTATACACATATCAAGTGCTTTTATTCCCCGTCGATAATACATTGATAAACTTGAACGCGGATGGCAATGAAAACACAGAACGGGCAGTGGTTCGTAACAATGTCATAATAATATTAATCCGATAATTTCACAGATACAATTGAATAAACAAATGTTTGTTAGGTTGCGATTAGCTAAAAAATTAATAACTATTGAATAGACTGCGAATTTTATGCATTTATGGCAGAAATGTTACACTATTTTCAATTTATTAGAACTGTTAAAATAAGCAATCGATGTGGATAATTTTAATTTTGCACTAATCAAATGTATTTTTATACCGTGCAATAGTCAGTCCAGGTCTAAAATTTGAAAATGCATTTAAATTCCGGGAAACTTATGTACGATATTGAAATTGAATTTGTTTGTTTTTAATATATTTGTAATCAGTTACATCCTATCAAATTTGATCGATGCGAAACGAGAAGACCGCGGAATACGATGATTCATAGAAAGCTGAATAGATTTCTTGTTATTGTTGACTTCGTTTATCTGGTAGATAATGTTTGCCTGGAAAATCTGATAAACGAAACTGAATTTCATACTTGGTGTTTGGTACGTTTCTGCGGTTGTGTATTCAAGCATTATCATAACAGAGAGTCTCTGTACTGGAACCACTGCCGATTTTCTCCATGTCAGTAAGTAAATTTTTGAAATATTTATCTGTGATGGCCTATAAAAAGGATCTCATATGATATTGCTTCTACAAATAAATGTTATTTTGTATTTCTAGTAACTACAGCAAATTCTATAATCCTTTAAAATGCTTTATTATTTGGCAAAGAGAATCAAAATGGAATTCTATCTTCCAAATTCTATCCTATGAAAAATGATAGAGCTGAAAATATTATATAATTACAACTAGTAGATGTGTCTGATCAAAAAATGACGAACTAACAATCGATTATAATTCTGACTTGGATAAAATTAAATCAGCAACCCAATGAATACATTCTTGTAGATTAACCATTTGCAGTCGAATGGCGACTCTGAGGCACCACTAATCTTTGTTATATCACCTTTTAGAATAATTTTGACATTAACAAAGTTTACATATGAAAAATTTGTTAAGAGTGTAACTGTTGCGCGAGTCCCAAGAGTCAATTTTCGTATATGCATAAAATGCATTTTCTCATATGGAATAGAAACACTGTGAGTCGGAAAAATGATTTTATATTTTCTGTTGAAATAGCTTCGACCGCAAAGGGTTAAAAATGGCGAAGCTGGAAATATTATATAATTACTGTTACTTGATGGAACTGATCAAAAAGGACAAGCTAACGATAATAAAACAGCAATGCAATTATTAATTTTTTAAAAATTATTCAGCGATTATAGTTTTGACTTCGATCAAAATTATTCAGCAACCCAACAACCACGTTTACATAAGCAATTTTGGAAATAGATCGCGTTAATTACTCGTTAAATAAGCTCACTAACAGTTTCGTTGATATAATAGATCTTGCGTGAACACTCAAACTTAAAATCCAAAGAGAATGTACCTATGAAAAAATTATTCCAGATTAGCGAGGAGAATGTAACCCGTCGATACTTGCTCGAATCGTTCCCAGGGAAAACATTTGTGCATGGACAGATACGTGGGATTCCACACGTTGCCTCTTCTCGATAGTAATTCAAATCGCGCGCAGCTGTCCGTTATCTCGGATTTAAACCGCGTGATGTAAGAGTAAAAAAAGAGTCGAATCCGATATCAATATCTATTCATTCCGACCGATGAAATTTTCATTGATACGAAACTGTTTCTGCTTTAAACGGTCGTTCGAGCGTCGGTGAATCGTACACGGAGAACAAACTTTCGAAATTCAGTTTGCTGACCGTTTGTCCCAACAGACAGACTCGGTTGAAAATCGGGCGAAAGTTTCAAAATTTAGACACTAACCACGCAATCTTATCTATCGTAAATAATTTGAAGATCGTGAAAATGGTTTTTTCATTCAGTAATGATGTTGTTGAAAGTTATATCCCGGTTCTAGCAGCGTGATCTCCAACAAATGAGCCGTTTATTTTGAAAGTGGCATAAGTCACTTTGTTTTTAAGTCGATATATTTAAGGGTTTGCGTTTTAACACGTTTAAAAATATGGATGCTAACTTTCGAGAAGATTTACTTGTATTCGTTGTCTCAGGATACTGATATTTTTCTCGGTATAAATAATTTCGTAAAAACATTAAAAAATCACCACTTTCCATTACGGTAAAGTCACTTATGCCACTTTCAAAATAAACGGCTCGAATGTTTCCAGTACGGTGAAACAGCTGTTGCGGTTTATATTAACGTGAAAAGCACCAAGATTTTTACTATCGAAGTTGGAGTCGACAAAGAACATCAAAAATAGAAAATTGCAGAGTTTAATTCTTCGCACATTGAATTATAATAGGTGTCTCATCACAATCATTTTAAGCTGGCGATATTTTGCAGATTATAGTAGAGATGACTTGTCCTCTCTAGAAAATATAAATTAACGTAGATATTTCATTATATCGTACTGTTTCGACAAAAGTGTGGTAACTCAAGACAGGTATGTTTACCAGGCGAAATTAGAAAAATGGACACCTTTTAAAACACAATATTTTTAAAATAGCACCGCGTGGCTTGAATTTTTTTGCGATACCAGACCGACAAATTTACTAAACAATGAGTAAACAATTTTTTGCAAAAATCACAATTCAAAGATATAAAATCTGCAGATCTCTCGCAGTTGTCGGTCGAAAATCGTCAAATATGCAAAAATTTGTTAACGTATTGCCGAATAAACTAATCCGTCTAACATCTCAATAAAACTCAAGTCGTTTGGTCTAATTTTAAAAATGTTACTACACGTTAAGGGGTGTCCGAACAATATCATTACTCGCTGTATTTCTACAATACAAAACAGTAAAATAAATTACGCAAAGTACCATAATGGAGATAAGTGAAGATTTTCATCATTGTTCAAGAAATGCCAACATTGTCGTATAGCGACAACATGGAAATCATATTTCCAGAGTTCTATAATTATCGCAAATACGTTAAAAATATTATTTTCTCAAGAAAGAGTCGAAATAAGTGAAAATCCAGTTCACCAGCTAAGGGTTGCGAGAAGGTTAACGTTAACGAGAAGGTTAACGTGAGGTCGTACCGTCTAGAGCCGAGTGGCGTCGTTTTCGGGCGCAGGAAGTTGGGTAAAATAATGAAAGAGGTGGACACAAAGGAATGGGAAGCCTCAGTACCTGCCAGCTTACCGGCAACGAAATAAGTCGACCACGAAATGACATCCGCTCTCCTGGCAGTCTTCCTCCGCCATGACAGCCTGTTTCCTCTCGGTTTCACCTTCCTCCACCTGTCGTTACCTTCAAACACGGCAGAATTCGTACCGACCCGCCGCCGTCCGGTTAACGGAAACGCCGGACCTAACCGTATGATCTTATTCTTGGCATGTGTGTTCGCCAAAGAAAGCTGCTCGTGTATCTTGTTTTCCTGACTTTTCGGCATGTCTCTTTGTCAAATATTGTTATTGCCGATCTTTGCGTGTGTCCAGCTTTAAGTTAATTTTTGAGCATTCAGTAGAATCTCGATTGTACCCGGCCTCGATCTAATCAATCTGCTCGATCTAAAAATCTAAGAAAACCCATATGGAAAATGATTTACTACAGAAATGAAAAAAGATAAAATCTGGTTATGTAACAACTATTGGATTGGCAACTAAGTAATTGCCATTTTTATGATATCCGTAAATGTTATATTATAAAATTATTATTATTATTAATGTTATTTTTTATTATCCGTGAATGTTAGCAACTGGACGAATTGAATGCAGCGGTCAAGGAAAAGCGATCAGAATTGGTCAATCGTAAAGGTGTCATTTTCCAGCAGGACAATGCTAGGCCGCACACGTCTTTGTCCACTCGGCAAAAATTGATGGATATTGGTTGGGAATTGATGTTACACCCACCATATAGCCCTGATCTCGCGCCATCGGATTACCACTTATTTCGATCCCTGGACAACTCCCTTCGTGGTAAAACTTTTAACGATGACGACGCTGTAAAATCTCGCTTAACTCAGTTTTTGGCCGAAAAGGATCAGACTTTCTACGAGCGTGGAATTTTCAAGTTGTCAGAGAGATGGCAAAAGGTCATCGAACGAAATGGAAAATACATTACAGATTAAACTTCGTTCCAAGTAAAAAGA